ATATATATATATATATATATATATATATATTCTGGATATAATTAAGTGAATTAATGAATTAATTTCTTAGCAACAGGCCGATCCTCATCCCATGTCAACAGAGACAACGGTGTTCTTTAATTTGACTGTTTTTCCTCACTCGTTCCTTTTATTTCTCAATGTGTCACGAAGTCCCACACCGAATCACAAATTAAACTGAAGTTGTATTTAAACAGCTTTTCGGTTAACGTTCCCAATTATTAGTTGGAGACACGCTGGTCACAACACTAAAGCATGCAATGTCACTCCGTCAGATTGCTCATCTCCCCTGTAAAGAATGAAGTCCTTAGCGCCGTGCAGCCAGTTCGGACGATCAGAGGACTGTGGAGAGCGAATGCACTCATGACCAAGGTCTATATAAGTACTTATATAGACCTTGCTCATGACGACCCTAATGGCGAAGTCATAAGCGTCGACATTCATTAACGATCGAGGCTGGGGGATGGCCTTCCATGCCCTGCGGTAGCAATCTTGTTCATAAACAAATCTCGATGTTTATCAGCAACATCATATCGTTTACGACAATACGAAAGGATGTATGATCATATTTCTTAACCATGGCCTACGCCCTGTCTTTAAAACATGGATGATCGACTTCCACGACTGCTCCGGAATGAGTGACCTCGGTTTGTGAGAGGATAGGTTGCTCTCGAGATCGTAGGTGGGTTTGCTGGCGATGAATATTTTAATGCAACGTCACTGATGTAGTGAAGCAGACCATACGTTCTTTAACTGAATAAAATGCTGACCTCTGAGCTTCCTGAGAAATATAGTGCTGCTAGAGATATAATTCTACTATACTAGACTCCTTATGATCGAAGGGAAACCAAGATCGGACAAACTTTTGGCGAGTTTGTGACCAAACCAGGTCGGGCGGATACGCAGACCGGAAAGGCGTGTATTGGCAAGTTTCAAGACGAGACTGCAGGCTCTCACGATTCCGATTGGTCGTGACCTACACTCTGCCCAGAGACCCTGCGAGAAAGGCCCGTAATTTAGGTTC